TATATATATATATATATATACTGTGAAATCTCATAATAACAATATTTTTCAAATTTATAATTAGTTAATTGTAAATTAGATAATTACGATCTATTTCCTAATAACTAGTAGAGAAAATATTACATTATCACTTGAAATATGGTAAACAAAAACATGTTCAGAAGTAGTAATAAGTAAAATACAAATCTTCAGTATTAGACTTAACTATTTTAGACCTGAATTTTTAAATTTGAAAATTTTTTTTTTTATCATAAAATATTATATACAAGAACCCTCTCACAATGTTTGAGCTGGTTTCCTACATAGGTATATAAACTAGGAATGCGTGAAAGAAGCTACCATCAAGTCTAACAGATAAAAATAGTGCTTTTTTAACTAATTATTTTGAAAATTGATTTTTTTTTAACAATTTTTAAATCTAGATAGTCAAAAAGGCAATTGGAATGTTTTTGTACTGAATTCCCTCCACAGTTTTCATATCTGGTTTTTTTCATTTATCATCTTAATATTCCTGCTGCTCATCATCTGACTATTCCTCAGTGTTTTCATGTAAAATTTCTTTAAAACTTTCTTTACATTTCCATAAAACTGCAAATTTCAAACACAAATTTCAAAGAGCTATGACGATGGCTGATTGTTTAAAAACTTTTATATAGTAAGTTCATAAACCTCATACTTTACCTTCCAGACAAAGTAATGTCAAAATTATTCATTGTATAGAAAATATTTATATTATATCTATTATAACTTTCAGGCTATTATTTTATATCTTACATAGCATAATAATAACTATCACTCAGATACGTAAAGATTCAAATATAGTAAAAACCTAACCTAACCTTTTTTATAGTGGAGTGGAAACCTGTCTGCAAGACTCTGGTGTGTCCTCGCGCACATGTCCCGCGCATTCACTCTGCTCGCACTCACGTATTGTGGTCACTCGCGCACTTTGAGCTTCCAGGGCTTAGTTTTCCTCTCGCTGTATCCGTCTTTCGTCGGTTTCCTTCTGCTTGAGAATGGACGTGATGAAGCCGGCCACCACGTTCCATCTCTCCAAGTTCTTTGGTTCGAGGATCTCGCACAGTTTTGCCTCAGCATCTTGCTTCTTCGTCGCCCAGCGGTGACATCTTAAGACGGTATGTTTGGGGTCGTCCTCATCCAGGCAGTACTTTTGATTTTCTTTTCTTGCTATCCGGTGGAAGTACTTTCCGAAGCAGCCATGTCCCGAGAGAGCCTGCGTCAGGTGGAAAGTGACCTCTCCGTGCTTCCTTCCCATCCACTGCGTGATATTCTGGTCCATTCGCCCTTTGTGCCGTCCCGCCACTTTTCTTGCCATCTTAACAGCCTTTATGCTTTCATCGTCCCTACCGCCTTCGTAGTGCTCCAGTCTCTCTCTGGCCTGCACTGCATCCAAGGATATGGTCGCATATGCACAGCATGCTCTTATTGCTCCCTATCTCTGCACTCTTGCCAGGGCCGCTCTGTATTTTGCTACTTGCATAGCATTCGCCCATGCTGGTGCAGCTTACAGCATTGTGCAACTGTACCCAGCAGTCTCCTCTTTCGTTGCTTTGGCCCTCCCATGTTCGGCATCATTCTGTAGCCACTTCTGCATGCTCCGCCACGTTCGCTACGTGCTTTTCGAAAGAAAGGTTGCTATCTATTGTGACGCCCAGGTATTTTATTGTCTTCTGAGGGGCAATGTCAGTGTCTGTGACTCGGAAAGTGACTGGTTTCGTTTTTCTCCTGCCGGCCAGCAGCACCGCTTCCGTCTTTCCTGGAGCTAAGCTAAGCCCCTTCCTGGCCATCCATTCCTGTATGTTCAGGATCGCCGAGTTTGCTGACTCTACCAGCACCTCTTCCGTTTTGGCAACCACTAGCACTGCTAGGTCGTCCGCATAGCCTAGGACTGTTACCCCTTCCGGCTGCTGTATTTCGAGGACGCCATCATAGGCAATATTCTACAGAGTGGGGCCTAGCACCGATCCCTGTGGCACGCCACTAGTGATGATCATCTCCTTTTCTCCTGCTTCGCTCTTTATTCTGATTTTTCTGTCGCTAAGGTAACTTTGTATTATATTAGCGATGCAGGTGTTTACCTCTCTTCTTCTAAGTTCGCTTGTGATGTCTTTCCATGCCACGGTGTTAAACGCATTTCTGACATCCAACGTTAGCATCGCGCATGATCTCCTTGTTCTCCAAGTGCCAGCCTTTGCCTCAGTGGCAATCTTGATGACTGCTATGACTGCATCGGTTGTAGATCTGCCCTCCCTCAAGCTGTACTGCCTGTCAAACAGTCCTCCGCACCTTGCGATCTCGTCTTTCAGCCGGGAAAGGATCAGATGGTCGTAGATCTTGCCCATAGTGTCAATCATGGGGCTTCTATGAGTTTCACCGGCTTCTTCACTAAAATGAGTTTTGCAGTCTTCCATCTGCTTGGGAAGTGTCCTCTGTGCAGCATCATTCAGGGCAGCCAGCACTGCTTTAGGAAACTCCGTCACTGCGAGTTTTGTGACCACTGCTGGTACGCCATCTGATCCCGGAGCTTTCCCTATTTTTATGCTTTCCCAATTTTTATGCCGCTGGTACTGCCTTCTAGCAGCGTGGCAGTGTTTCCTCAGCTCTGCTATCTCGTCTGACTACCAGTAAGTTTGTTTCCGACTGTGATTGCTTCGCTTTTTTCCTTGGCGTTGCTGCGTTGCACGCTCCTTCTATAGACTGCATTAGCTCTTCTGCTGTTGGGCTTTCTCCAAGTGTGTCAGCAATGGAGTTTAGGAGAATTGTTTTATTGAGCTTTCTTATTGCCCATCCCGGTGTGACTGCTTAGTGCTGGCTCCTTGTTCTATCTCTGATGCTGTACGTTATGTATCTATGGTCGCTCAGCGTTTTCTTATCCAGAACCCTCCAATCATTTATTTTGGCAGCCAAGCCAGGCGTAATCATGGTGATGTCTAAGATGGATGAATAGTTTCCACGCTCAAAAGTAGGATCAGAGCCTCTGTTTGCGGATACGAGATTTAGGCTAGCAGCCCACTCAGTGATATCTTCTCCCCTTGCGTCCGTGCGTCTCTCGCCCCATTCCGGACTCTTCCCATTTAGGTCGCCCGTAATTATTGCCTGCCCACCTTGTCTTCTTGCGTCGCCTGCAATGTTTGCGAGAATGGAAGTGCTTTCGGCCCTGCTAATATAGTTTGTTGTCTTTATCCAGACATATCCAGTCCTACGTCCTCGAACCGCCACTTTACTGTTCACAACTTTGATTGCAGCATCCCCAGCTTCGTCGCAGAATCAGCCTGCTCTGCTTAGTGCCTTGTTCGGTTCGCTGACTATTAAAATGTCAGCGTTCAGTTCTCTAGCTGCGACATAAAACATGTCATGGGCAGCCCTGCACCTGTTTGTGTTCGTCTGTATGATGTTAGTGTCCATATATCGGGCATAGCGTGTTGCCTGCCTGATTTCCCGCTAGGCAGCATAGCGGGCAGTACCTCGTTCTGTCAGTGCCAGTGCAGTTTTGTGCTCAATGTCCGACGTTCCAGCACCTGAAACATCGGAGAAGCACTACGTGCGCCGATCCTTATGCGGCTACATTCTATGAGTTTCCTTCCTGCGGCTTGTGGGATTTCGGCTGTCGCTATTTGCTTCCTCCCTTATGCAGGTCTTATGTTTTTGACGCAAGCATCCGTCCCTGCCGCGGCTCTCAGTGCAGTTTCCACCTCACTGATGGTTGTTTGTTCATCAAGGTCTTTGATGCAGACAGTGATCGGGCTCTGCAGCACGCTTACGCTGTGACCGTTTTCCATTTTCTCGGCTAGAGCAGCTCTCTATGTTTCCGCTTTTCCGCTGCCTCTTGAGATTTCCATGAGTAGGTCCCCTTTTTTCGTGGCTCTAACAGAAACGATGTCTACATTCACTTCCTCTATGTTAATGCTCTCCTTTACCTTCTTGAGAACCTCAGAGTAGCTCTTTCCTTCTGCCCGTACGATGACAGCTTCAGCCATGTTCCTCCTTTTGCGGGTTTTGGGCTTTCGCGTTTCGTTGCGCCTTTTTTCGCGCTGTACCTTTGTCCAGAGATTTCCTTCGTTTTCATCTTCTCTTATCTTCGGCGTCTGCCAGAGGTGTCTTCCTCTGCGCCAGCGAGATTGCTCGGTTTTGCTCCAGCGGGTGTATCTTTACCAGCTGTTTCGAGCGCACTTGCATGATTCTCTCCGTCGTTGCCAACGGCGTCCTCTGCGCACGCGCACTCTGGCGGCGACGTTTCGTCAGCAATCCGTTTTGAGGTTATAATCTCATGCAGTCAGCTCACTCTTTGCTTTATTCCAATAGGTGTTATCGAGTACCTATCTACAAGTTTCTTCAGATCTCTTGCACACTCGAAGAGCTCCTCGACATCTGCAGCTGTTTGCGTGCCGTTTCTCCACCGTTGTTCAACACTAAGATCTGCCGTTCTTCGCACTCGACCACTCCCGTCATGTTCCCACTCAACCTAACCTAACCTATTATTTTTTTTACTTTAAAAAATATTAAGAAGACACTTGTAAATGTACTTAATTCCACCAAATCTAACATATTGTAATAATACTTAAACTAAGTTTCTAAGTTTCATAAATTTATTGTTTCATGAACTAGACTTGACCTTACTTATCTAAAAAGAAACTTTCACAGAAATATGATGACATTTAAAATATGTTTGTATTCTAATTTAAGAAATATGATTTACAAAACATTAAGAATATTGCTCAATAATTAGTAAGATATATCATTATTCCCAATATAACCTATCCTTCCTTAACCTAATATGATCTAACCTAAAATAATGTGATTTAACTATACTATATTGTAATATAATTGAAATGTTACTGATTATTTTGTGTACGAAAATCCAAATTAAAAAATCTTCTACGCTGGCTGGGCGTAAGTCCCTGACGTGGGAAGGTTCAGGGCGCCACTTCCTTTTATTGCGAGGAAGAACTCTAATAACTGCTTCTTTATGAACAGCAAGCCTCTTCTCCGACGGTGGGCCTTGGCTCCTCAAGAGCACCGACACCGTCCTTTGGAGCACACAAATATATCTTCTCCATTGGAGACCTGACAAGACGGGTCAGGTCTCCAATGGAGACGGTTCGATCCGGTCTCCCCGTTACAGTAAATTGTACTATAATTTATAAATTTAAAATGCAAACTATACAAGAATCTATATATTTATTATTTTCCATCATTTATTTTTAATTGATTCTAATTATATTTGTTTTTTTTCAAAATTTATAATAGTTTTTGAACAATCTTTTCCACAATTCGTTCGTGGTGTTGAATGAAAGTCTCTGGAGGATATGATAGGATGAAGTGCAGTTGCATGCACGATTTATGCACAGTTTTCGATTCCAATTACACGCATTGATATCATTTTATCGGCTTGCAACACTTCGAATGCGGCACAGGCGAATTTGCATAGCAAACAGCAATTACGGAAGAAGGAAAAAAAAATGTATTGCTTTGCACTTTTCGCAAAAGTCCTTCTTCTTTAATTTCCCGTATGTCCATCGATTTTTGACCCACATCGTAAGAAGGAAGGTGGAAGAAGGAGGAAAGAAGCGAAGAAAAGGGAAACAACGAGCGGAAACTAAAAAGTAGGTAAAAAAAATAGAGGAAACGAATGGAAGGAAAATGAAGGAGAAACAAATAAAACGAACAAACTTATGAATGAAAATGTAAACGTCAATGGAAACTAGCCGATTTAATATTTCATTTCGTGAACTCTCTCTCTGCGTGGACGGATCAAGGTATGGATAATATTCATGCCCCTATCGATTTTAGAATTATTTCAATATCACGCTCTTTCTGAACTAATTTTAAACTATTTCCTCGCTTCTCATTCTTCTGACGTTTATAGCTTTAATATCTACAATTATACTCAATAAATAGTAATGAGCAATTGTTGTACACATAATTTAATCATTCCACACTGATTTTTCAGTAATTAATAATTACAAAAATAGAGATTATCAGTTATTATATTTTGTGATCATATGATACTGATTTTATAATAAATAAGAGGAATTTTATGGTGGTTTTCACTTAATTGAATTATATACAGTTTAAGAAATGAACTCGTGCAAAGATCTTAATCGCATGGAAACCCAACCGAAGGACGGATTGTGTACATCAGTTGCATCACTATTTCAAATCATTGATCGATCCCTCGGGTATAAATAAATTTCGCTTCCATAAAGCATAAGTGGATTTGCAACAATATTCCTTGAAATATGACCTACATTTCTTTTTAAATGCAGCTCATCTATGATTGCGTAATCTGTACTAAGATCACTGCGAAATATCAATAGTTAGACATAGCTTTGTGTGAGATGGGGATCAAATGCCTGAAAAAAATCTTTACTTACACAAAATCAATAAATTAATATCAACTTTTAAGATCGTTATTATCTTTTATGACTTTTTCTAAAATATGCATACAATGATTTTACTTGTTCAAATATTTTTGTATCTAAGGATTAAACTTTGATCAATTATATACTTTCCATTTTGTCCGATAACCTTTTGTCACCTTTCTAACAAAATTAGTCCGCGCTAATAGTACTTTT